GGGGAAACTAACTCCAATTGGTCAATTGGTTGTGACTTCCCTTCACAAAAGCTATACTGGCTCTTTGCCAAAGCATGGTATTTTTAATTCATTTCTTTAAAATAGTTTCTATCAATTTGTGCAACAGAGATGTCACCCAATTTTGTGTGAAACTGGCCAACAGGTTTGAAAGCTACAAGACAGAAGTCACACTTGCATAATGCAAGCCTTATTTCTTCAGAAAACCAGCCCAGAAGCATTATTTTAAAATCTGAACTGCCACCTATAACAACAAAGTGTTATTTGATATTGAAATGTACTGCATGTTGGCCTGCACATAGTACTTCTGCTATAGATGTACTATACGCACACACGTGTGCATGTACGCACACATGCACATATGCATGTACGTATTAAGCTTGACAGGTTTATGCCCACTGTCTTAAATCACTGCAGACTCCATAAATCAAAAGTTGATGGTTTATATGCATGCAAAAGAAGATATATTTGATACATTCATTGTAAAACAGATTCCCATCAGAAAATGAAAAATACATGGAACACAAAGTATAAAAACATCATGTCCAGTACAGTATGCCTCCACACTTACACACCAACCATGGTGGCTCTCTACCACTGTAACTCCATACTCTCTTGCCTTGATAAATACAGTCTTGCCCAACTCAAATTCACACAAAATACCACCATAAAGAAATTTTTCCTGGTTCATTACTTTGTCTGTGTTACCCTTCTGCACTCCTCCAGTGCCTCCCTTATCCTTTCACCATCAAACATGACTACTTATCTTCATTTGTACGACCTTTCAAATACAAAACTGTAGCATGTATGTCAACTTTCATTCACTATCAAGATGTCAGCCTTGGCCACCTCTTTGCCAGGGCTAGCCTTAGCTGTCCAGTTGTCAGATCTCCCAATAAACCCCTCTGTTCTCGCACTGATATCAATATTTTTGCATGAAACATGCAAAACTTTACATGTTTGCCTCTTTCAAATCCTTTTTTAAAACATTGTTCTGATTAACAGACGCTGCTTTGAGCACTGATGAATTGTAACCAGCATTTATGCTACCAGTCATTATTACTACACACTTCCACAGACCATTTATAAAAATCTAAGTGCTCTACAAAGATGGGACTATGTAATGTTATGGGGAACTTCTAGCCACTGTAATGTTTTCGCAACAAATACAACGTTTATTAACCTATTTTCGAAACAAATTACTGTTTCTTTTAACATTGAAAATAAGCAGGTCAATAACATGGTTTGCTATCTTAAACTCTTGTGATAGTTTACCTGAGTTGCAGCAACAACAGTAGTAATAGAAGGCGCAGTTGAAGGTGACAGAGCTCCCACTTGCTGCAAGTGGCCTGAAGCCTGCTGAGGTAAATGAGAACTGGAAACGGGAGTGCTAGATCCTGAGCCAGATACTGCATTTGGAAATGATACTGCTACATCATTGCTGCTAAAAATACCTGAAAAAAATTACAAAAACAATTACATGCATCTCTCTCTCTCTCCGCCTCCCTCTGTTGTCCAGTAACCATGTAAATATGCAGTAGAAAATTAATCAAGACAAACAAGATCACTTAATACATAATGCAGAAAGTTCCTGTGTTGAAATTCTAACCATGCTGATTGATAAAAGCGCTCTCGTCATTAGACATTCTACAGTTCAGGGAACACAGACTGGTTCAGTTCTAAGTTTTTGTAAAACACGGGTGATAAATCAAATATTTATGTGCATTACAAACTGCTCAAATATTAACAGTAGCAGAATTTTTGGCTAAAATGCCTGCCTTCAACTGAGTCTGCTATCAGAGTTTGTTCTTTCAATGAATTACTGAAAAGTTAAAGTAGATAAAGAATGAAGTATTGGGCTATATAACTGAACATACATAATACAAATGGAAAAATACTTTTTAATTTTAAAGTGAAATGCTTCTGAACAACATACATTTGTCCAAAACTGTAATTTTGGCAACTAAGGATTGCTTGTGTATTTTCAGAAGAATATTGACAGCAAGTCTGAGGACAAAGTACTCCGATTTGCTGGTAGAACTTGTGGTATTTCATTTATTCACAAACTAAAATGCCATCCGTGATCTAAGAATGCTAGACTAACATTTCTGCTAGAAGCCAACAAGTAAATGACTAAACATGTTAACATTAGTCAGACTTGTACGTTAGCAAGTTAAATAGGAAGAGTTCATACCCCTCTGTGAAGCCATTACTTCTGTTCATCTACATGCAGGGTAAAATTCATTATATAGGTTGGGGAAAAACCCTACTGACCAGAAGCCCAGGACAAGAAGTAGTACCTGTCTATGAAACTGTTAGGCTCCACGTGCATTAGATAAGTGAGCTGTCAGCTGGCCAAGGAATATCAAGCATGGTAGCACTGAACTGCAGTTAGAGGAAGAGTGCCACAGGGAGTAAACAGAAGTAGAATGAACATGGTTAGATCAAAAAAAGCAACAGAACTGAAATGCCAGTTAGAAGGCAAAGGTGGAGCTAGTTTGTCACTCATACAAATAATGATTTGGAGCAGGCAGTGACAATAAGAAGATACGCAAAGTTAAAACATCACTCGCCACCCAGCAATCCCTCTCAGCACAGGCAGTCAAGGGAAACTAACATCACCCAAATCCACACGCAATATGCAAACACTGATGCATCTTATATCCTCTGCCTCTATTAACTGTCAAGAAAAATGGAAGAGAAAACCAGCCAGACCCAGCAGAGAAAGAAGATAAGAAGAAACCAGCTGAAGACACATTCCAACCACATTTATTTCCTGCCTAACCGAGGTTAGTGACTTCTTATCATCTCCTCCCCAGTCTCTTCATCACAGCATAACTCCATACCTACTCTGCTTTTCTACTGACCTTGGTACCTTTTCGCATTTAGCACACCTTTCTGGGTCATCTTCCCCCGCTGTTTTCCATCCCCAAAATCTACAGCTATGGCATTACTAGCAGTTAAGACCCTTTGAGTGTTCACTTTGTTATGATCTTTCTCCAATTATATCTGCCTCATCTAACTAAGCAGTAAATTCTATGGATCCTGCTCTAGATTTGTCCCTATGCGCCACCAAAATTAACATGATTAACAAACAGCCTTGTTACTGAGTCTACTCTTAAATGCGATGTAATTACAAACACAAAAACTGAAATACACTCCAGGTCCTCAAAAGATTTCTTTTTAATCTACTTCCAATCAGATATTTCAAATTAATAAAAAGAATTATATTTTTGACCCCTTTTATTTTGAATGCTTTCAAACAACTAAACATGCAAAAATTCTTTAAAAAGATGAGATTCTCATGCAATTATCTGGCTCCAGGAACTGCGAATTTTAAGGGTAAAAATAATGAAATATCACAACACTTATGATCAATTCATAAGAGCTCATCACCACAAATCCTATCACTCACATAAAATGTCAATGATAATGAGTGGAGAAAACAAAATTTTTGGAGAGGGTCAAGTAGTAAAAAAGAAAGATATTTTGCTGGAAGGGTAAAACAGCTCCCAAATTTTAAAGCTATTGTAGATTTTTTTCTTGTTTTTTCAAAATATTACGTATTTAATAGCTGCAGAGCTGCTGCTGCTTCTATTTTAACGATAAGGTTTATTCTTCCTCTTAAAAATAAAATTCTGGAATACAAGCAGATAGTTATAAAATCACAGGCAAAAAAAAACTATTTCAAAAGAAAGACAAGCAGTAAACTAGTTTGCCAGTGCAATGAGGTAAGCTATTGTTATTGCTAGCAGTAGTTGTAGTAGTATTAAAAACACTTGCTATTTGTTGCTGCTGCAAAAGCAGGACAAATATGACCTATCTGCACCCTCTGTTTGGGCTAAGTATTTACATTTAGCAATACCTTACTTACTACATAAAGTACATGCACCTTCCGGAACTAGTCATGCAACCAAGGCATTACTCCATGCAAGCACTCGAATAAGAACTGTATACTGAATATACAAATAAATCCTTGATTTTCACACCATTTCAAAAATACCTGTATATAAACTATGTGCATATCATGTTAGAAAGCCAAGAGTGTACATCTTTTAAATGTCTCAAACATATCAATTTGTCCTTCTGGGGTTTGGGGAGAGATAAATCACTTTCTGGATCAGGAAGGCATAACAACAAAAGCCTGAACAAATCATTATAAACCACATTAATGTTTAAAACAAACAAACCACCCTGAAGTCCTTCCCATACTGCTGAAAAGCCAAACAGCTACAGCTTGTGATGGACGGCATTGTGTTATTTGCCAGAGGCATAAACAGCACGGTTAAATAGAATCTTCAGCATTTTAAACTGAACACGGTTCCTCAACCGCAGGTGGAAATGGACCTGTAACACTGTTCAGGTAAAGTCTGACTGTGCTTAACATCACTGCCACAGCTGCAGAACATGGTTTCAGGTGCTCACAGACAAAATGCACGTACAGCCTGCAATGCTGGATTGGAAGGCTTAAGAAAAAGGCAACTGCAAAAAAAAAATCCACCTCTGGACAACAAAAAACCGCCTGCTTAGCACAGAAGGGTAGTACTACAGAGCAGGGAACACATCAGATTATACAGATCAGGAAAAACTGTACTCTTTTTGCTGAAAACCAATGATGAAATAGATAATATAGGAAATAAAAGAACTTCAAGAATAGTGAAAACCAAAATGGCCTCAAGTCGGAACTAGCTGTGCAGCAACATACACCAAGTGGCACAAAGAACAATTTCAGTGGTCTTATTCAAACTCTCGAAAATAAGTAGTTCCACGAGCAGAAGAATTAACAAAACAGATTAAATTCTGGCTTTCAGCACTGTTGCATCTCACAGATGACATCAATACATTAAATTTTCCCACCATGATTTCTGTATCTAGCTACAAAAATCGCAGATCATTTTATTTTCTGCTACTACAGCCCCCTACATTATTCAGCTCTCTTACGTTCCTTTCCTGGTGATTGCCTAGTTCAGCAACAGACAAAAACAGGCTGTGGTTACTCCTGTGGCCATACGCTGTCCATCCCTATTACAGGAACTTGCATATTTTAGACTCCTTTAGCAAGTTTGCTCAAAACTGGACAACAGGCTCAAAGCTTACTGCAGCTCACAATCAAGAGACAACATGTAGACTGCTTCCTTAGGCGGCTAGGAAAACGTTCTCCCTACCATAAAGCTGTATTTTCTATTTTAAGTCAGTAACTTGAAACTCTTGCAACAGCTGTGAAAAGAGGAAGTTATTTGAGATATCTATCGTAGGTTGCTGACCCGAGTGTTTTGCTAAAACTTAAGGAAAAAGCAGAATCTGGTCAAAGAGGTTTTTTAAAAATGTAAACTTGCAACCCCAGAAAAGTTACACAGAACTACAGAACCTTCCTACTTGGGTGAGGACAGACAGACACGGAGGAGGAAATTTTGAGTTATAAGAACAAGAACTTCTTTACAAAAACTGAAGCTATATTTGCATTTTCAGTACCTTCACTTCCTATGATCTCAAAAAGTCTCCCCTAAAATCCTGACAACTTTCTATATAGAGCAAAATGAAAAACTGACTTTGAATGAAGCATTCCATTATTAGTAGCTAAATATGTAGAAAAAATGATTAAGTTTAGTTACACAAGAAAGAACATGTTCTATTCCAGCAGAATGTTAACAGTGGAAGAAATATCCCACTATGTGTTCTTTTGTAATATGGACATAAGCTAAAGTGAATCTAAAGACAAACACAAGCACATAACAAAAGTTGTCTGAGAAGAAAGTAAGTTGTGTTTGAAACTGCCAAGCTAGCAACAATATTTCATGTCAATCCATCCGAGATAATGAAACTATAGCTTGGATGCTACGGCCAACCTGTTTCCTTCATGAAGAAATCCAAAATCTAAGAATCAAATGATCACGTCGCTTTCCTGCTGCCGATGAGCAAAGTGGCAGAGTTCACTTTCAGATAGGTATCTACAAGACTCTGCAGTAACAGTTCTAGAAGTGCATGGAAATGATAGTTACTGATCTGCAGCCTGATAATAAGCTGGCACCTCCCTCCCTTTCAGTGACTGGTGGTCCTTTTTGAATGGAGGCACAGCAGCCTCTGTCACAGATCAACAGTTAATATCTCCTTTTATGAAGGGCATTCTATGTCCTCTCCATGATGAGGTAGAAGGAAAAGAAGCTCCCAGACTCAAAGTACCCAAAGAATACACACCACTGGTGGTGGAGGGGAGGAAAGAAGACACAAAATACATGTTTTCAGAATGGAACTATTCTAGCTTCACATATATCGACAGAAGGCAGACTGCTGTATTTATTCCCTTTGAAAATACTCCATAGACTGGATTTATACTCAAAAGCCAAAACACTTGACAAGAACCTTCACACAACTGAGGAACACAATTCAGCATGGCAATGTCACATATATGATGAATCAGTGATCCAAGAACAAGGTCGTATGATCTGAAGTCTGC